GGAAAAAAAAAAAAAAAAAAAAAAAAAAAAAAAAAAAAAAAATGTTATGTGGAAAATTAACAGAAATGGGGAATTTAAATTTATATTTCTCAAGTGGCAGGTGCTACATAGAGGACAATACCACTGCTAAATTGACTCTTAAAGAAAGCACAGTGTCCCCAGTGAATACCCATGCAAAGAACATACGTTCAATAAGCATGTCAAGTCCACCACCTGATGTTCAAGTTATTTAAGCTCTGAGAACAAAGAGGCTGGATTTATGAGGGCCTGAAACATAACATCAATGAATCAGATACTTTATAGGGGCATATGCTCATCTGATTCTTTACCTGCCCCTTTTAACACTGGCATTATCAGATAGGATCACTCTCTCTCTTTCTCATCTCTACATCCATTTCTATCTCTAATCTTTCTGTTTGTCTCCCAAATTCCATTTATATCTTATTAACAAATAATGTCTTATGAGTTGTGAAATTATTTTTATTCTGCTAGAAATTTGTCAGTGTGAGTTGTTGGTGAATTTCAGCCAATGTTCACCAGGTGCCTATGATGAATAGATGTTAATGACACATTACATCCTCATCATTTGAGCACATTAGGGGAAACCATCCTTCCTCTCTTTGTTCTTCTAAGAAGAATGGGTAAAACCCAAAAAGGGGGCAGAGTGGCCCATAACCGGCTGTCACCAGCCCATGCTAGAAAAAAATGTGACACTCATGCATTTTAATGGGATTAGTCATTAAATGAGCAGCCAACACCCCAATTTCTGGACACCTGCCTTCTCAAAGTCTCAACTGCAATTCCTGCCCATGACGCGAGAGCTTCAGTAGCATGTCCTAGAGCAGAATCCTCCACGCTTCCAGCCTTGCTTCTATGTCATGATGCCACCATCTTACTTCAGCTCCCCGTGACTTCTGTTCACTCCTGGAAACCACGACTGCACCTATTCTAAGCCTTTGAAGAACATTTGGATATTCTGCTCTTTTAAAACAATGAAGTAAAATTCCCCAGATTCCTCAAGGCACACCTGAGATAAATTTTCAGCATTTAGCACTCATTTACCTAAACTTTAGAAGAAAGAAGACAGATCACAAACAGTGAACATGTGCATCTAGATGTGGCTTCTCTTGCAGCCCACAGCTCAGCCCTATGTTTACTGACTCTGACTTACCTTCCCTCTTTCTTGGTTTCTTCTCCTAGCTCTTGGATCCCAGGCAACCTTACATGGTCAAACTCATGTCCCAACCTCACCAACCTCATGTCATCAGAGTAGAATGTTTCTGGTGTGGGGCAGGGACTGTGGCCCCAGCGAGCCTGGGCTGGATTGCAGCCCATCCCTGCTGGGCTCTGTGACCTTGACTGAGTCACTTCACCTCTTGGCCCCTCTGCTTCCATGTCTACAAAAAGAGTGCACCTTGCCCTCTTCATGGGGTAGTGAAATGTTGAATTGTAAACTGAGTGCTATAAATTGATGACTGTGCCTGGTGAAGGTAAATATGACATACCATGAGCTATTATACCATCAATGTAAGGTCCACAAGTGGAGGATTTGGTTAGCTTTGTTTGCTTGTTCACAGAACCAAGAAGATTTATTGCACATTCTCAGTAACTATATGCATGACTGGATTTCAAACCCAAGGAATCTTGCCCCTGTACAGAAAGCAAGGTCATTGCCCACACTACTTCCTAACACCTTCTTCATTTCNCCCACAGCTCAGCCCTATGTTTACTGACTCTGACCTACCTTCCCTCTTTCTTGGTTTTTTTTCCTAGCTCCTGGATACCAGGCAAACTTATATGGTCAAACTCATGTCCCCACCTCACCAACCTCATGCTATCAGAGTAAAATGTTTCTGGTGTGGGGCAGGGACTATGGCCCCAGAGAGCCTGGGCTGGATTGCAGTCTATCCCTGCTGGGCTCTGTGACCTTGACTGAGTCATT